CCGTCGTCCTGCCGTCGCTGGAACTGGATCCCCTCGTCGAGCTCGAGGTGCACTGGTGCTGCAGATTGCAGTGGGGCTGCTGCACGGCGCGCCGCTGGGGACGTTGAACTGGCCAGCCCGCGATTTCCGGCGTACCGGTCCATCCGCTACCGCCCGGAGGAGGGGTATTCAAAGGTTGTTCAATTGCGACGGTGCTGGCGTCGGTGCTGGCTTCGGCACTGGTGTGGGAGCCGGTGTTGGTGTCGGCGTATGCGTCGGCATTGATGCTGGCGTAGGGGCTGACGCTGGCGTAGGGGCGTTGGTGCTGCTGCGCGTGGCGCTGCTGGTCTCAGCCGTGGGAGTCAAAATGGTGTACCGGCCTATCCGCAATTTTCGGCGTGCCGGCCCATCCGCTATCGCCCGGCGGCAGGGGAAACTCCGAGGTGATTCGATGGCGGCGGTGCTGGCGTCGGTGCTGGCGTCGGTGCTGGTGTGGGCGCCGGCGTAGGTGTCGGCGTATGCGCCGGCGTTGACGCTGGCGTAATTAAGGGCTGGCGCTGGCGTAGGGGCGTTGGTGCTGCTGCGCGCTGGGCTGCTGGTCCAAGCCGTGGGAGTCAAACTGGTGTACCGGCCTATCCGCGATTTTCGGAGTGCTGGCGCATCCGCCGTCGCACGGCGGAAGGGGTACTCAAAGGTGGGACGATGGCGGCGGTGCTGGCGTCGGTGCTGGCGTCGGTGCTGGTGCGGGCGCCGGCGTAGGTGTCGGCGTAGGCGCCGGCGTTGGTGCCAACGAAGGGGCTGACGTTGGCGAGGAGGCGATGGTGCTGCTGCGCACTGCGCTACTGGTCCAAGCCGTGGGAGACAAAGTGGTGTACCGGCCTATCCGCGATTTTCGGCGTGCCGGCCCATCCGCTCCCGCACGGCAGAAGGGGAACTTAGAGGTCGAAGCTGCTGGTGCCCAACGCGCTGATGACAAGCCGTGCTGCATCTTGTCGTGTGGCTGCTGCAGTCGGTCGTGCTGTGCATCGTCGGGCTGAGCGTCGTCGTGCTGCTGCGCGCCACCCAAGGGCGTGAGAATCGCAATGCTGCGCTGCTGGCCATGATGATGGTGATGAACAGACCGCGATGTAGAAAAACACGAACACGAAGCAGTGCTCGAGGGCGCAGTGCAAGAAGTGGCGGCAAATGTGCGGCCGGGCCTGCAAGCCGAGCACGGGCAGTCAGGGGGTGGAGATAAAATTGACGAGCGGGGATGCCGTACGCTCTGGGACTCGAAGTCGATCTGCGACGGCTCGCAGGAGTGTGTAGAATAGCGCCCGCGCCACTGAAGCAAGGCAGAAGATGGCCGGCATCAGCACCACTGCCCAAGCGCCCTGTTAGCGGCAGCGTGGCCCCGCACCAGCTCCCGGACTGCCTGTTGAAGAGCCTCTTGCGCCGCCGCTCCTGCAGGGATTGCACCGTGGCGAACCATGCAGTGCACTTTGTACACGGCTGCAGTGCGGAGCGCCTTGCGCGCCAGTAGCGACGGATCCGCGTCGATGCTGTTCGGGCCCATGTCCAGCAGGAGAAAGCAAGCCAGACACTCCCCCCGGGACGCTGGACGCTGTATCCCCAGTCGCGACTGCGCGAATCTCCACACATGGGGACACGACGCATAATGCTGGATTGAATCTTGGGCGTCAGGGCCACAGAAGGCATAGCGGTCGGCGTGACCACCTCGCCCTTGGAAGCGTCGGAAGGTGACCCACCCGTTCCACTGCGTGCGCCACGTCGCCGCGAGCACTCTCGGCGCGACCATCGCCGACAAGCGGCCGAGCGCCTGCAGGCAGCGCTGGGCGCGTATGCGCGGGAGTTGCGGGACGTCCCAATATTCCAGCTTGTGGCGGGTCCTCGTCTCAATGCAGGTCGTCGGAGGCGCGGGCAAAGCGGCCAGCGCGGCGCCCTGGAAGCGACGACACACTCGGTGAGCAGTGCTCTGCGGGAAAGGCCTCTGCTCGTCGCCGGCCAGCTCGTTTTCCAGCGCCAGCGGGGTGATTCCGGCGCGTCGAAAGTGAAGAACTGCGTCCTCCAGCTGCACAGTGAACGCCCGTTGGAACCAAGACGCCCAAGTCCCCATCCTCACCGCGTGCTCAGTATTTGTCAGCCAGTGGCGAAGCTCGCGCGCACGCTGCTCCGCGCGAAGCCCGGTCGGCTTCGCCTCCAAGTGCGCCACTCGAAACCGGCTCGCCAGCGAGAGCAGCGCGGCGTCCGGGACCTCCTGCAGGAAACCGAACGCGCGGAGGTTGCGCAGGTCGTTCGGCACGCACCAGGCACCAGGCCCTCGCACCAGGGAGCGGAAGGCGGCAGCCTCTGCGCTGTCCCAGGCAGTGGGCAAGGAGTCAAGTTGAAGAAGAAAGCCGATGACCGGGAGGATGTACACCTTGTAAGCCAAGATGGTCAAAAGTAAGCCGCCCCCCGCCGCGCCTCAGGCCTCCGCCCTTGTCTTCAGCTTCTGCAGCGGTTTCTCGAAGGATCGTTCGCCGCGGTCGGGGCCCAGCACGAAGCCGAGATACTTGGCGTGACGCTCTGTGCGTATTCCGGCCCAAGCAGGGAAGTTCCAAGCAACCGCAGCAGCAAACTCCGGCAGCTCCTGCAGGAACATTGGGACGATCACCGTCTTTGGTAAGCTGAGACGCAGTCCCGAGATCCGAGCGAACTCCTCGAAAATCTGAATGAGCGTCGGGAAGGACCCAGCGCCAGAAGGAAACACTGCGCCCACGTCGTCGGCATAGGCCCGGACCACCGCATCTGGAACAAGCCGCGAAATTCTCCGAAGCAAAATGTCAACTGCTGCTGAGAAGAGGAGCGGCGAGAGCGGACAGCCCTGCCGGATGCCTGCCAAAAGTTCAAAGCCTTCGTGCTGCCGGCCGCCAGCCACCATGGCGCAAGTGTTCCTCTGGTAGAGCGTCGAGACGAAGCGCAATACCCACTGCGGAAGCCCAATTGCTGCTAATGCGTCCTGCAAAAAGTCGTGCGAGACGCTGGGGAACGCCGCCTTGAAGTCGAAGAATACCGCCACGCCCGCGTCGTTGCACAAAGCCGTTCGCATCATGGCATGGTCGACGTCCACGACGTTCGCCAGCATCGATCTGCCCGGCACGAATCCGCGCTGTTGTGAGGAGATCAATTCTGCCAGCAAAGGTTCTACTCGAAGGCGCACTGCGTTGGCCAAAATGCGGTTGTCGCAGTTCACTACGTTAAGCGGGCGCGTGTCACCAGGGTCGTAGTAGTCCCCCGCTTCGGCATCGTGGCCGCTCGGCGCCCTGGGGAGGAACACCATGAGGCTCCTGTTGAAGCCGAGCTCAGCGGAGGGGCCGTGCAAGAACTCCTCGAGGTCAGAGGGGCCAGGGCCCTCGGCGAGGCACTCCAAAGCCCCGGCCAACACGTCGACGGCCAGGGGGCCCATCTGGCGCCAAGCTAGGAATGGAATGCCGTCGGGCCCGGGCGCCGAGTCTGGTGAATCATCAATGGCAGTCTCCACGTCTTTCCGCTGCGGCCGCCACTCCGGGCTGTCGGGGGGAGGGAGCCCGGCTGACGAGATGTCCTCCCGAATCCAAGTCTGCAGCAGCGCGCGGTCAACGCGACAGGACGCAAACGTGGCGGCCCAATGGTCGCGTAACGCAGCTACCATCTCGCCCGGGTCCGTCACGACCTCGCCGCGAGCGTTTCTCGCTGCCGGGACGGCAGAGCACCTGCCAGGGGACAGCCGCCGGAGCATGTGGAAGATCCGGTCGCGCTTGTGGGCCTTCTCAACGTCGCTGGACAAGTGGCCGTTCTCGTGCTGCTCGGTGAGCTGCAGGATGGCAGACTCGCGAGCAAGTTCAACGGCGTGCTCGCGAAATGGACCCGAACCTGCCCCTCTGAGGTGGAAGAGCCCCATGGGATCGGCCGTCAGGGAGCTGAGTGCCGGGTATGATCGGAGACAATGCTGCATCACCCCCGCGTTGCCTTGCTCAGCCGCCCGCACCAACCGCATGGTGTAGCCCAATCAGCCCAGTATGCACTGTGCGTCACCCGTTATGGACTCGTTGTGTGAGGCCTCATTATATAAGTGGTCGTTTTGACCATGTGGGGATTGATGCACACACGGCGCCGCGGTCCATTCTCGTTTCCTCCTCCTCGTCTTCCGCCCCTCCGCCGGGGTCCCAAGTCCGGGGCCATTTCAAGTTTTTGCTTCCGTCCTTGCCGGGGAACTGTAACGATGTCGTATTCAGCAGGCTCTGTCAGAACGCCTTGGAGTAGAGGACTGGTACCATAGTGTACATAAGGCATTCGGCTGTCGCCGAAAGTCTGGGTGGCTCCTCGCCCCCGGGTCGCGTTTAAGGGGCCCCCAGCTGCTGTGTCTTCATCGAAAAAAAAAGAAGCATAAGCCCGAGCATGACCCCAAGAGCTTGAATGTTGGCCGGCAAGATCCCGCGCTGGCGCTGGAGGGCATTAAAGGAAGCCTTCCGACTTCACTACCTCTACGGTCGATGCTCTAGGCCGCTGCGACCCGCTAGAACCCGAGCGCCGCGTGCGAAGCGTGCGCGATGGTTCTGGTATGTGTACGCATGCAAATACACATGCTTAGAATTACATGTGTATATATATACATATATATATATATATATATATATAATGTAGGTTCATGGGCCCAGGAGCTTCGGACATCGGGGCGCGTCTTGAAGCACTCCCAGAGCAATGTTGGGGCCATCGTGGAACCAACCATACCCCCCCCCGCACCCTTCCCCGCCCCCGCCCCCAGTTCTCCCCCTCGCCTGTCGCTCCTCCCTGGGGAGAGGGGAGGAGAATGATGATGAGGACAGGGCGAAGGCAGAACGAGCAGGATGAGGAGAAATCTGAGAAGAAGGAGGGTGACAAAAGATGAGGGGAGAGTGCAGGAGAAGAAAACAGGAAGGAAACGAGAAGAAGCCTGGAACCCCTTCCGATAGGGGGCTCGTCGTCATCGCTAGTTTGGGACGACAGCGACTTCACAGCCGGAGACATGTGCTGCGCATGCGGGGGTGGCGAGGGTGGCGATTCAACGGCTCGGAGCGCTCCTTTGTATTGTCCTCACATGCGCTCGTCTGCCTCTTGGGGTCCTTTGGAGGCTCCTTGTGGGAGGCGCCATGCGCATGATGCGCGTGGCGCGTTTGGTGCGTTTCCTTCTCCACCCACCTTCTCTCAGATTCCTACTTCACGCTGCTCTCATGGAACATATCGTCCAGCGTGGAGCGTGGATCACATTGATCGTGCTGGCGGATGCAAAGTGGGGTCCTCAGACTGTGATCGTGTCAGATTTGGACCCTTGGACCCGTGCTCACACGAGGTTGTGAGGCCGCCCTGGCATACACTAGAATCGAAAAGCGCGCGCGCTGTTCTGGCAAGTGTGCGTGTACTGTAAGCGCGATGTTATTCTGCTTGTCCGTCACATGTACACGTACGCATATTTGTATGTACCACGCCGGCCTCATTCAATATCTTATGTATCAATTCGGCCCGCCACCTCATGGCGCGCCATTTGGTCTCCTCAGTGCTTGTCCTAATCGAGGCGCCGACGCCCACCAGCCCGACGCCCGCACCCACGCCATCTTCGAATCCGGCCTCGTCTCCCTCTTTCTTTTTTCTATATTTTTTCTCCCTCCTATTTTCCATGTTCCTCCTGCCTTCTCACGTCCTTCCTACCTTCTTTATCTCCCTCGTTCTACCCTGTTTCCCTCTTCATCCTCCCTCAGCCCGCCTCCCTATTCCCTGTTCCCCGTTCCTTCCCTCTTCTCTCGTCCCTCTTCCTCCTCCCTACTTCCGTCTTCCCAGCTCTCTCCGTCTTCCCTCTTCCCTCCCTCGTCTCATTTCTTCTTCGAAGAATCCCCAATACCTTTCGAGGCGATCTTGGAGTGCCCCCCCCCAAACGCGTGTGGCCCTCAGAAGCATAAGCCCGAACATGACCCCAAGAGCTTGAATGCTGGCCGACAAGACCCCGCGCTGGCGCTGTAGGGCATTAAAGGAAGCCTTCCGACTTCACTACCTCTACGGTCGATGCTCTAGGCCGCTGCGACCCGCTAGAACCCGAGCGCCGCGTGCGAAGCGTGCGCGATGGTTCTGGTATGTGTATGCATGCAAACGTACATGCTTATATATATATATATATATATATATATATATATATATATATATATATTGTAGGTTCATGGGCCCAGGAGCTTCGGACATCCGGGGCGCGTCTTGAAGCACTCCCAGAGCAATATTGGGGCCATCGTGGAACCAACCATACTGTGTCCCCCTGCGGGACCCCCTCCCCGCACCCTTCCCCGCCCCCGCCCCCAGTTCTCCCCCTCGCCTGTCACTGCTCCCTGGGGAGAGGGGAGGAGAATGATGATGAGAACACTGCGAAGGCAGAACGAGCAGGATGAGGAGAAATCCGAGGAAAAAGGACGGCGACATAAGATGAGGGAAGAGTGCAGGAGAAGGAAGCAGGAGGTGTGAGATAGTGCATGTGTCACGTGTGTATATGCGCCACTCGCCGCCGTTTGGCCTCTAGGGGCCCCTTTTTGCCATTGCGCTAAAACGCATCATAATCACACTTGTAGCGGAGCTACCACACGATCCTCGTATCGTACCACTGCGCGCACGTCTCGTCAGAGAGTGTCGCACTGGCTTTCTTTATTTTCTGTACTAGTAGTTTGTTTCCCTTGCTAGGGGACTGAGCCTTGCGCCATGGCATTGTCTTGTCTTCGCTATCGGCCGAGCGCCGACGCGCTGACGCGGTCCGAGACGAAGAGTGGCTAATACATCTACGATGGCACGGTGAACAGCTGTCACGAGTGGGAATTCCGCACAGAGATGCGCATGAGTGCCGGTTTGGCCTCAGTGGATCAAGCGACGGGTGCACCACAGCGACACGTGATCACCGCAGCTGTCAACAAGGTTGTAAAAGGCTTCAGAGGTGACGTTTTCGAGATTGCCATGGATATCGGGAAGGACGTGCTTCTGACTCCGAATGGGATCGATCAGTTGGTGCTGGCAATTCGTATTTCACTCTTCCCCATAGAGGCGCAGGAATCGAAGACCCTGTTCCAGGTGGGACAGAGACCATATGGACCACTGCCCCGGCAGCACGGTGAGTCTATCGTCTCGCACATCTCCCGAAGGAAGCGCTGGTGGAAACTTGCCTCCAAGTTGAATCCTAAGATCTGGATGAGCGACGATACGCTTGGCTCCCTTCTCTTGGACCATGCTGGCTTTTCGCCTTCGGAGAAGCTGATGGTGTTGACATCCGCAGGAAATGTGACAACCTTCGACAATATCACGGACGTCTTGATCCTCCAACACGGCCGCATACACATCCGCCAAAAAGGCAAGGGTGAGTCTGGCATAGGCTCCAGTTCTTCGACGTGGACGCAGCCCAGACCCAGCTACCTGAACAGCAGCAAGGGCAAGGGCAAGGTGCCCTTCTCCAGGCCACAACACGCCTTCTACACTGCTGATGAAGGATGGTACGAGCAGAAGGAGCATTACCCTAAGGAGCTGAGTCCCTACGGGTACTACGCGTCTGGCTATGCGCCAGAGCATGGCTGGGGCGACGCGGCCTGGGACGACTGCGCCGACGAACGCACCGACGTCGACGAGGAATCGCATGCTCACTGGGCCCCTATCCAGGATAGCAGCGAGCTCGACGCCGAGGTGGTCGACGAGATGGTCAAGGCCGGATACGCGGAGGAAGAAGCTTCTGACGCGACCCGCGAGGACCCAGTCGCCAACCTCGGCACCAAAGGGAGGATCAAGGGCAGAGGAAAGAGCGGAGGCGAGAGTTACCACCGCACGCCTTGGTCGCCCAAGGGAGGCGGCAAGGGGGGGCCTTCCCTGGAAGATCGCAAGAAGCGGCCCCAGGAGATCAAGAAACGCTCGACATGCAAGACCTGCCACGAAACAGGCCGCTGGCATGGAGACCTTGAATGCAAGGGCAAGCCCTGGGCGGCAACGGTAGCGCACATCCAGTTGCGCGAGGACGATGAAGAACGAAAACTGACATCCGTCACTTCCGCTGCTGCATCAATCCTTCATCATTTCATTGGGTGCAAGGGAGGGTCGATGAGGATGGATCCTGGTGTTTCTCGTTTCTGCTCTTCTTTTTCTTCTTCGCGTCCTGTGCCGCAGGGCGCGCGGGCGCGATGGAGGGGGTCGTGGCGGGCAGCGCAGCTTGCTGCGCAACCACGTCGAGCGTCGCGCATGTGAGAGTTGCACGGGGATGACCGAAGCCGCTCCAGTTCGGGGACCTCCAGAGCCCCGGGAGAAGAGTCTTCAGACCTCTGCAGAGGGTGAGGGGGGTACCCTTGGGTTAATGGCTGTTCGCTCGACCGAATCTTATCCTATTGCCAGCGTTTCGGGAGTTCGAGGGGGGGGATCTGTTTCGGATCCAATCTCTGTCACTGCTCAGGATGCTGCGTTAGCTTCGGGTCAGCGGAAAGGGCTCGGTTATGGTCGCGTTCTCAGGGATGCTCCTGGCTACGTGAATTGGGGTCGCAAGGTGAAGAACCCAAGTGGGGATCTGGTACTGTTATTAGGATGGGCCGATAGCAACTTCACTCGCAAGGAAGACGGACAGTTTGCGAGAGTTTCGGGGCCGAAAGTTTCCAGCAACAAGGTTGTATCATTCGGGTTCTTCTTCTGGCCTGAACGGGGAACCTCTGAACCCCCCGTTGCCTCATCCATGCGTTCGAGGTTGTAAGAATACTTCGGGAGTCAATTCCAGTGCTCGTTTCATCGCTCGCACCTGCAAGGATTGTGGGCACAAGACCAAGAAGAAGAGGTGCACGGCGCTGCGCCCCCCGGGTGAGTGTCCGCACGATCTCGTATATAGTCGCGGCAGTGCTCCAGATATTGTTCGTGCGTAGTGTCGTCGTTGCCTGACATGTATCGATGAGCAGCCGAGCAAGCGAGCAGAAGACAATAAAGCAGTAGTTAATAAAGTTGAACGCTCCAGCAACATTCAACCATTCGCACCTGATACGATTATTGAGGACGGTCGCCGTATCACCTCTGTAAAGCTAAAGGTGGTTTTCTTAAAGGCTTTCACTAAATTGAGATTTGCGATGATACGGGCGACACTAGCACGGGTGAACTAACTTCTTCGCCCCACGACCGTGTCACTGAAGTCACGGATCACAGCCTTGTCGGTTTTATGGCTCCGACGCAGGACGTTTCGACCGAAGTTTCGGCTCTTTCTCAGCATCGTGCGGTTGATATCTTCACGGACGAAGGTGTTTGGGTTATCCTAGACGAGGGTTGCAATTCATGTTGCCGCGGCAAGGCTGGGGCTCTTAACGCAGAGGATAAATTCGAGAAGGTGTGTCTCTATTTTAAATGGTTCACAGACAGCACAAGACGTGCAGCGGTATAGGAGGACAGGCAGGGAGTGAGACGACAGGTAAGAAGAGTTTTTTTCGTTTCGTGCCGTTGCTTCTCGCGGCGCCGCGAGTGGGTGTCTCGAGTCGCATCAGTTGAAATATTCGGATCGTGTTCCTCTCTTGTTGTCTCTTTCTGCACAAGGTTCCCTTTGTCTCGTGGGGAATCTTGCGGTCGTGCTTTCTTGAGTCAGGAAGGCGAGGTAGAAATGCGTCGTTGTGCTCGCTCAGGTCTTCTTATCATTCGCCTTGATCAGTCTGGCCCAGAGCATGCTGCGAAGTCCCTTCGTCCGTTGCACATTCCGCATCCAAGCAGCTGCGCAGGCCCCGCCGGCCGCGCCGCGCCGCCTGCTGTCGTTGACCACTCCAGTGACGACGGGGTCACGCGCGTGCCCGCGCCCGTCGATCACTCCAGTGACGACGAGGGCGCGCGGGTCGCTGCCATGGCTGCTGGTGCTGGTGCTAGTCCCACACCACAGGGCTCGAAGTTTGCTGTGATCACGCTGGGCTTGGAGAACTTCGAGAACGACCCAAGGTGCTCGGGGTCGTCGATGCTGAGGGAGTACATCCGCTGTCACCATCGCTCCAGTCACGATATGACTACCAGAGGACGCGACGCCAATGCCATCATAGATGCGCTCATTGCAGCAGATGAGAACATGGCGAACTATGACCAGCACGCGTAGGTGGACGCCAGGGTTCTGAACGACCCGACCCACACGCGCCATATCGGTCATCATCCGGATATCTTACGCGATTCAGTTGAGAATGAACATTTCGTTGGCATCACTGAGTATGTTGGGAAATCGCTTGCGAAGCACAAGTCTTCGCAGTCTGCGTGCGTTGTTGCCATCTGTCGTTCTGGTCGGCATCGCTGTGTTGCTGTTAGTTATGGTGCTAAGCAGTTGTTGAAGCAGTACGACACCGAATGCAGTTCTGCACGCCTGAGTCGACTTGAGTGGCCCAAACGTACTTGTATTGGAGAAGGTGATGACTGTTGCCACGTATCCGATTGGGGCCGTGAGATGGCGAATTCTGCGACTGACAAGATGGCTTCGCTCTTTATTGAATCCTTCGAGAAGTCCAGTGTACCGCTGCCTCCAGTTCCTGAGCCGTCTGCCAGGCGCAGACCCCGTGACGGGGCCGAGCTGGCCAGGATGGAGGAGAAGAGATCTCGCGCTTCATCGAGCGTGGTTGACAG